TGACAGGTTACTGTATTGAAGGTAATGTGTGTTATCAAAAGAGAAAAAGCTTATTATAATGTTTGTAAAGAGCTATTTCAAAGGATGTGCAGGTAGATAAATTTCATTACTCAGCCTGTCAGAACGGGGCATGTTAACAAACTAGGGATGAGCCTCTCTTTAATGAGCAGACATACCTTTTGTGAGCAGTACAGGCAGACTAAAGGTCATTCCTTGATAATGATGTACATGCAAAATAATAGACGTGAGTCACTTTCTGTTTCTCTTTCATATTGTTGTCAGTTTCGGATGATAAGTTTTATATATACATGTATACATGTACACTTTCTATGTCCGTGAAAATATTAATTGTGCTTCCAAAAACTTGATTTATGTCATACAGTGTGCTGGATGCAAAGCCGAATACGATCCGCGAAGATCCGGGGTAGAATAGGTCTCCAGCAACCCATGCTTGCGTAACCCATGCTTGTCGTAAGAGGCGACTAACGGGATCGGGTGAACGGGATCGGGTGAACGGGATCGGGTGGTCAGGCTCGCTGACTTGGTTGATGCATGTCGTCGATCCCGATTGCGTGGATCGATGCTCATGATATCAATCACTGGATTGTCTGGTCCAAACTCGAATATTTACAGACCGCCGTCATATAGCTGGAATATTGCTGAGTGCGGCGTTAAACAACAAACCAACCAAAGCCGAATACATTGGACAGACTGGGGATACCATAAGAGTGAGGGTCCACCGAAAACAAATAAGGGACCCCTTTTGCCGGTGTATCCCACTCAGTCAACACATTGATCAATGTGCTGATTTAATCAAAGGAGAAAATTATGAATAACAGTCTTTGAATGCAAGAGTTCCTGTGACGAGGCGACAAAATCATCTGCTTAATGAGAGGAATTAGATCAAGAATGCAAGATGCATATCAATACATTTATTAAAAGAGCATACCTTCAAACAGAAAAAAGAAATAATATGTTGATATGATTTTTTTCTCTCGCTGAGACAACATTTTATAACATTGTATCATATTCAACGATGCCACACACATAATCTAACACATCGCAATATAATTGGTAAATAATCGAGTCTGGACCAGACAATCCTGTGATTGATATCATGAGCATCGATCCACACAATTGGGATCGATGACATGCATCAACCAAGTCAGCGAGCCTGACCACCCGATCCCGTTAGTCGCCTTTTACGACAAGCATTTGTCACCTTTTACGACAAGCATGGGTTGCTGAAGAATTTTTCTAACCCGGAATATTCACGGGTCACATCGCCATATAAGAGCAATAATCCTGAGCAACGTTCAACCCGATTTCAGTTCCCAACCACATGAGGGTGCCAACTGACAACAGATCTGAGGATGTATTCTCGTAATTGGATGTCCCCATATCTTGTTTAACGACAGCAAGAGCTAAAGTGAGTTGAAACTGTGTTTTATGTTGCGTCCAAGATTATTGCACTTATATAGCGACGTGAAAACCCTACTCAGACACGGTGTACTGACCCCGAGCCGACTAGTCCTTGTTTCAGCCCCTTAGTGCCGAGTGCCAGACAGGGTAACAACAAGTACCATCTTTTAACGTCTTTTGGTATGACGCGGCCGGGGATCGAAGACCGGATCTTCCGCTCTGCAGGCAGACGCTCTACCACTAGACCACGGAGGCGGTCGTAAGTACTAGGATCTGAGTTTAATGAGATTGGTATAAGTAAATTAGACTTGGGTTTTCATATGAATGCATCACCATGCAAAGGTGGTGCTGCCGCACTAACTCAATCAGGTTTTTTTCACATCGGTATCGGGACATCTGCTGGCTTGTTCTCGCGCCACAATTGTGTAGAGTTTTCCTCTATCATGACGTCACTTTCACTATTCGTATGTGGATGCGGAAGCGGTATGAATCACTCCTGGCGCCGATATGCCTTCCCGCAGCCGCGTGAGAAAACGCAGCATGGAATCGTATAAAGAATTAACCTTTTCCCTTTTATTGCCGAAGTCCTTGTGGACATTCCGCATAAGAATCCTTGCATTGCAGGCCGTCCTTTCTTTTAGGATCTCACAGAAGCAGTAAAAGAGTTATCCAGTAATTTGTATGACACCTCCCACCCTCTGGAGTGAGTGAGTGAGTGAGTGAGTGAGTGGGTGGGTGGGTGAGTGAGTGAGTGAGTGAGTGAGTGAGTGAGTGAGTGAGTGAGTGAGTGAGAGATTTAACAGTATTCCAGTTATATAGCGGCGTGTCAGCTTAATGTGGGAGGAAAGCCCGAAGTGATACAGGTTTCAGACGTATACAACTTCGGTGACACCAACGAGCACGGGTATGGGTATGGTGCTGACATACCTTGAAACATAATTGGGGCGAACCGGGATTCGAACCCACAATCATAGGTTTCTGGCGTGCCCAAAGGAGCCGAATCGCGGCGCCTCAGACGACTGGGCCACCCGTGCCCCCATATCACCCTCTGGAAATTCCCCCCAATATGGAACTAGCCACAGACTTTTTTGTTTGTTTGTTCGTTGCTTAATGTCGCACTCAGCAATGTTCCAGCTATATGACGGCGGTCTGTAAATAATGGAGTTTGGACCAGACAATCCAGTGATTGATATCATGAGCATCGATCCACGCATTTGAGACACGATGAGATCAACCAAGTCATCGACCTCTTACGACACACATGGGTTGCTAAAGACCAGCTCTAACCCGGATCTTCGCGTACCCACACAATGTATCAGGTTACTATAATTAAACAAGGTTTTCCCCTCTGCTTGACCCACACAGACTCAATGGCTCCGACACAGCATCACACGCAGACAATGAGGATGTAGGTTACTAAGTATCCTGGTTCACTACGTAGTTTAACAGATAACTACAGGGAAATCAGGGAAATCTGAATTGAATAATATTGTGTTTTTCTAAGAATAGATTGAGTTTGTATACCAATCCTATTCGTTTATTCACCAAAGATGTACTTTCGATCAGAAAAAGCATCCTGAAGTATTATGTTTTTACACCTTCTCGAGGCAAGGGCGTTAACTGACTATAAAAGTCCAGTTTCCACCCTTGCCGAACAAGATTGGAATATCCAGGTTCGATCGTAGCGCCACCAATGACTATAACGAGTTATGTCCCTTCTATGTACACCCCCCCCCCCCCCCCCCCCACACACACACACACACTATTGCCCAATCAGATTCCACCTCTCATATCACTTGCAATTGTTGGAGACGCCGTGTCTGATCGATAATACATAGTTCCGATCGGGAGCCATTTAACCAATCAGAGCGCTGCTCTCCTTCACTGCCGAATAGCTTGACACTTGGGTGCCATCTTGCCCGCCAAGCACACACATTATCCAAGACCTTTACGGTCATGTGTTGTATTTTGTAAATGCTTTTTTTTTATTTCAGGTATTCGCATAAAGGCGTCGGGGTGCGCTTTGAAGTTTCTTGAATATGAAAGAGGTCTAAAATGGGTGAAGAACATCCATGGGCGCTCTGACACACGTCAATTTCGTAGCGGCGATGTCCTGCAAGCAGTGCCAAACATTTGACGGCGTTGGTACAAGCAAGCCATTGGAGGATTTGAATATGGACGAACAATTTTGCGTACGTGTGTATGCGCGACATTTGGAGCCCGCCATTTCTGCTTGCATCTATATTTAAATTTCATATTAAGCAGGGCTCGGCATCCGGCTACCAAAAAGATGTTGGCACTCTCATGTATTCTAATAGTGCTCTTTGGCTTGAATAAGATGTTCTGCAGAGTTGCGTCTCTTAATGATACATTAACTTCAATCGTGTCTTTCTGTGTTCGAATACTTGATTCCCCCTGATTATTGTACTTGGTTTGTGACCTACTCCCGTGTTTCCCCCAAAAGATAAAGGATAAAACCTCATGGATTAGACTACGTCATTGAAAGTAGTCTATTACTGCCGCATCTTTTTCGCAGAAAATGCGCCCGTGAATATCCGGGTTAGAAAAGGCGACTACTTGCTTGTCGTAACAGGTGACTAACAGGATCTGGTGGTCAGGCTGCCTGGCTTGGTTGATGCATGTCATTGCATCCCAATTGCGTAGATCGATGCTCAGGATGTCAATATTAGCTAGAATATTGCTGAGGGCGACATTAAGCAACAAACAAACAAATAATATATTATTATTAACGTATAACATTTTCTCGACACGAATTGGTTGAACTACTGCCGATGTGTAAATTTTAACTCACTCCTCATGGTTTAACTGCAAAACGGTTCAAGAAGGCGTTGCACCAACTCACTCACTCTTCATGGTTTAACTGCAATACGGTTCAAGGAGGCGTTGCACCAACTGACTCACTCCTCATGGTTTAACTGCAATACGGTTCAAGGAGGCGTTGCACCAACTCACTCACTCCTCATGGTTTAACTGCAATACGGTTCAAGGAGTCGTTGCACCAACTCACTCTCTCCTGGTCATTGAGGTCCGGGTTTGACACAAAGCGACATGTTCACCTACATACATTGAACTAATTCTGCTATTGTTCAGTATCTCCTGTCAAACTAATTACATCATCACTACCGGATGTGTTGCTTCAGAAAAGGCAAACAATACATTGTTTATCAGAGGAAAATTTGTGTGGTGACTGGCTTCGGTGAGAACAAAGGTCTGTGCATATATTTATAGTCTGAGGAATTGGTTTCCAAATTCAGGAGAGGGAAGTTTAACGTATTCAAGTTATTTCACGGCGTGTCAGCTTAATGTGGGAGGAAAGCCTGAAGTGATGCAGGTCTTAGACATTTACCACTTTGGTAAAACCCACGAAGACTGGTATGGTGATGACAAACCTACAAAATTAACCGGGGCGACCCGGGACTCGAACCCACAATCATGGTTTATTGGCGTGCCCAAAGGACGCAACTTCGCACAGCTACCCGTTACACCTCGAATCTCAGGAATATTTGTTGATATACTTCCAGAAGCGTGGTAACAAATCAAACTGACAAACCTCCTTCTACAATTAATAATACTGTTTAATTCGCATTATTTTCGCACATGACAAAAAGACGAGGTTAATAAATATTGCATAAAATGTGAATATAATGCTACACAACGTGAACCTGTCAATGACATGCATGTGAGTATATAATCACAACACCTCATCCTCGATAATACAGTGTATCAGTCGTCCTTCCTTTTCTCTTATAAACCCTGGACTTTTTCACTATCATTGCTTCGTTTAGAGCCAGTTTGGCACGACATGGGGCGGTGGGGTAGCCTAGTGGTCAAAGCGCTCGATCGCCACGCCGAAGACCCGGGGTCGATTCCCGACATGGGTACAATACCCATTTTCGATGTCCCCTGTCGTGATATTGCTGGAATTTTAACCGGCGAAAACTCAAACATACTCACTAACATAAACATGGCCGTCTTTCATTATGGAGGCAAACAGCAACAGAATTCGACCCGCTTTTGTTGCGTGCCATCTTAAATACAACTGGTTATATCTTGTAGAATAAGGCCTTTCCTCACCGTCTTAATACTCAGAAAACCACTATTACTAACTAAAAGTACACGTTACAGTCTTCTCATTCCTTTGAAAATACAGTAAACTACGGTTATAACGAACACGCTTATAACGAACTGACGGATATAACGAACTTACTTTTTAGTCCCGACTATTTGCTGTAGTTTACTGTATATATGCTTATAACGAACTACGGTTATAACGAACTAAAAAAAGTAGTCCCTTTGAGTTCGTTATAACCGTAGTTTACTGAAACGACTCTGTCGTACGAGCACGCGATTCCAAATGCAGACCTCGCTTTCAGAAGAGGCAGTTGTATTGGCTGATTTCATGTCCATGAACGGGAGAACACATGTGCTAATTTATGTCACAAAAGAGAACAAGACTTCTGAAAAGACGTTTTGGTGGCGAATGGGCGCAGTGCATTTGTCATAATAGAATGGTGACGTAATACACTGGATAATCACTGATGGCCAATAGCGTCCTCTAACAACCATTGACAAACTAAGAGTAAATTACAACAAATGTATAAATGACAATAAAGTGCAACATCCGGACAATTCAATAAAACTGTCTAGATTTCCGGTAATGTAATAAAGCGAGCTGGGTTTTACGACGCTTAGAACAGTATTCGCAAACCAAGCAGCAAAAGCCTGGTGTTCACGTACGTGCGATGCATGACGCAGTGATGGTTCGCCATAATATTTCAGGGATAGTGTTATATGGTAAGCTAAACCCACTCCCTTACGACGACGCGATATAACTGGAATACTGTTAAAAGCGGCGTTAAGCATAACTCACTCACACACCCTTACGATTCGGTAAGCAGGTGTGCTCTTTGTAACCATGGTTCCTTCTGATGATGCGTGTAATGCCTCGTATACTCCGATCTCATCAAATCAGATCTTAGTTCTCGCTACCGTTAAACAAAGATCTGATTTCATTTTTGGATACTATCTTATTTTGCCGACACCTGATCATGTGCTATATCTTTTAATGCCCACAACCTCCCTCTAAAGAATGACGTCCCTAGGTAATGTTTAAATTCAGGAACAAGATTTTTTCATCTACACCCCCCCCCCCCCCCCCTCTTTTCCCGATGTGAATCTTAATGAACCAGGGGCGGTCGGGTAGCCTAGTTGTTAAAGCGTTCGCTCGTCACGCCAAAGACCCGGTGTCGATTCCCGACATGGGTACAATGTGTGGAGCCCATTTCTTGTGTTCCCCGCCGTGATATTGCTGGAATACTGCAAGAAGCGGCGTAAAACCACTCACTCACTCCCTCACTCACACTCACTTTATGAACCAAGTTTTATGTGTTCATGTGGCCTTGAATGTGCACCATACATGCAGCATTAATGTGCACCCTCTCTGCAATCTCATTTTCATCACTGCATTAGATTTGAATCTTGTGTATTTTCTCCCTGTACATCACACCAGATACTATTCCACACATCATGCTGTCTTCGCCTTGGGAGTATAAGCACTGCTGAATATTGCATCCACTAGATTTGTTAGTGGCACAAAAAAGAACAGACTGTAGTTGGTTCCTAGCTTCAGTCTTTCGCCAAAGTCTCTTGGTGCCACCAGCTTAGTTTTTGAGAAGTCGTCAAAAAAGACGCCTGCCTCGACTGCCGTTACGAAGGTGATGATCTGGACACAGTACATGATCACCGGGATACGGATCCAGGGACACTGGGATGGACCTGTGGAAAATTTAAGACACAACATTAAGTGAGTGAGTTAGTCGGGTTTAACGCCGCTTTTAACAGTATTCCAGTTATATCGCGGCGTGTCAGCCTAATGTGGGAGGAAAGACCGAAGTGATGCAGTTCTTAGACGTTTAACACTTCGGTGAAACCCACGAGCACGGGTATGGTGCTGACATACTTAGAAACATAATCGGGGCGAACCGGGATTCGAACCCACAATCATATGTTTCTGGCGTGCCTAAGGGACGCAACTCTGCATAGCGAATCGCGGCGCCTTAGACGACCGGGCCATATATACATTGTATATGTGTGTGTGTGTGTGTGTGTGTGTGTGCGTACGTGCATGCGTGCTGTTTAACGCCGCACTCAGCTATTATTCCAACTATATAACGGCGGTCTGTAATAATCGACCGGATCATCCAGTGATTGACATCATGAGCATCGATCTACGCAATTGGGATACCTGGGAACCTGACCACTCAATCCCGTTAGTCTTCTCTTCCGGCAAGCATGGTTAACTGAAGACCAATCCTAACATGGATCTTCACGGGTCTATATATACATGTGGCATAAATAGATACGGTATACAGTAGTATACTGTCTATTGTATATCAACCCACTCTTGAAACTCAAGATTCCTGTGGGGAATATTCATCAGAAGAAATACCTTTGTAGTATGCATAGATGGCGAAGAAGAAGAAGGGGATATGCGTGATGAACTCCACGATGCAGAAACTGGCGAACCAGGGCATGTTCCGAGCATTCGCCATGTATGGATCCCTGAAGTGCTGGATGTACCAGGAGAACAGATCAGTCAGCTGTAACAGACAGGGCATTTGTACAGATCAATCAGCTGTAACACCCAGGGCATTGGAACAGATCAGTCAGCTGTAACAGACAGGGCATTAGAACAGATCAGTCAGCTGTAACAAACAGGGCATTTGTACAGATCAGTCAGCTGTAACAGACAGGGCATTTGTACAGATCAGTCAGCTGTAACAGACAGGGCATTGGAACAGATCAGTCAGCTGTAACAGACAAGGCATTGGAACAGATCAGTCAGCTGTAACAGACAGGGCTATTGTATAGATCAGTCAGCTGTAACAGACAGGGCATTGGAACAGATCAGTCAGCTGTAACAGACAGGGCATTGGAACAGATCAGTCAGCTGTAACAGACAGGGCATTAGAACAGATCAGTCAGCTGTAACAGACAAGGCATTGGAACAGATCAGTCAGCTGTAACACCCAGGGCATTGGAACAGATCAGTCAGCTGTAACAGACAGGGCATTTGTACAGATCAGTCAGCTGTAACACCCAAGGCATTTGTACAGATCAGTCAGCTGTAACACCCAGGGCATTGGAACAGATCAGTCAGCTGTAACAGACAGGGCATTGGAACAGATCAGTCAGCTGTAGAAGGCAGGGCATTTGAACAGATCAGTCAGCTGTAACAGACAAGGCATTTGTACAGATCAGTCAGCTGTAACAGACAGGGCATTTGAACAGATCAGGCAGATGAAACAGACAGGGCATTGGTACAGATCAGTCAGCTGTAACATACATGACATTGGAACAGATCAGTCAGCTGTAACAGACAGGGCATTGGAACAGATCAGGCAGATGAAACAGACAGGGCATTTGCACAGATCAGGCAGATGAAACAGACAGGACACAAATCAGGTCACGGAGTCAGTCAAAACATTTTAGTTTGGTGTTGTGTGTGTTGGGGAGGGGTGGGGGGTGACTCGTGGTTCTGATTCAATCACAAAGGCATGTGTTTCCTGACAATCAGCAGCATACCTCGTGGCCATGAGTCATCCACGAGGTGCACCATTAGCTGCACGGGCGATAAGCAGTACACAGTTACCATAATTGTTATCGCAAAGCCATACCTAGACTAAAATCTAGTCTCTGAAATGAACATATCGTACATAAAAAAAACCACTTGTTCAGTTATCTTAATAAAAATATAATAAAAAGGAGCCCAGTGACTCTCTTCATTTTCCTGATACTGCAGTGATCCAGACTTGCCGAACATTATAGACTTGCATGGGCTGTATTTGATATATATTTGTATCAGGGTCTGTAAGACAGACTAAGCCATACCGAGTTTAAGCTGCTCACTACGGCAACGGGGGAAACGTCATTAATCTGTCATCCCAATGTGTACCAGCCCAGTTGCAAATGCCAGTAGTTAAAACTAACTTGCAGCAGATCGCGCTAAATGTCTCTGAACACAAACCACGAGGATATAAAGTCGGGATTAATGATGTATTTGTATTCGCTTGCAAATAATTGGCAAAGTAGAGAGGATGTATTGCCTGACCTTAACCGCGTGAGGTAATTGCGGGCGGCCTATCACGAGCTAACAAGCTTTCATTTTTTATCCAAAGCCGAAAAGTATTTTTTTCATCCGAAGCTAAGCTTCGCTCGATTCCTAAAAAGTTGAAACCCTTGCTTTGAAATATTGGCTAGCATGGAACACTGTGGGCGTGCCCAAGCCCAAAGTCCCCACGTGGGACATGTGTGTTCATTAATACCCCCATTACACCGGACGGCGACCTTTCTGCGACCGTTCTGCGTTCTTAAGTTTTGCCAGGTCGGCGTTGAAGGCAGAAGGAAGGCAGAACGGTCGTAGGAGCGATTACACCAAAAGAGAGTTTTCTTGAGTATGGCGACCCCACTGCGCTCGTCAAATTTTAGGACGCAGAAGGAGCGCAGAGCGATCGCCGTTTGGTTTAATGGCCCCTTAAACGACGGATGTGAATGATTATACAGGACAGAGGAAATAAGATTACTTGTCTAGTAGTAGTTGTCTGTGTGCCTAATTCCATCTTTATACACATTTCGCAGGGTTAATCGTGCTTTCGAAGTATACCTCTTGACGTGCCTCTCTGATAACATGCTAATGATTGTTGAGACACCCGGTAAACTCTATGAGAAGAATGTACAAATCTAAATTTAATGTATTATATTAGATATGTTTCATCTTTCAAATCTCTAAAGGCTCGCTGACTTGGTTGATGTATGTCATCGTATCCCAATTGCCTAGATCGATGCTCATGATGTCAATTACTGGATCTTCTTGTCCAGAATCAATTATTTACAGACCGACAAACGTTTATGGACTGGTACATGTCATCGATTTCGTTGGTAACGCAGGGCGAACAATTTCTCTGAAAATGGGTAGTGGGCCACGGGCCATGATTCATATGCAGAACTGACACTATTTTTTAGGTCACTTGTTGAGAACTTGCTGAAACAAGATTCGAACTTGAATCTTGCATAAATAGAGCTCTGCCAGACCTACAATGCATCGGACTTTAGACTCTCTTAAAAGCATTTAATTGTTTTCCATTCCTGCACTTGCCTCTAGTCTTTCCATCTAAAGTATTAATTTACTAAACAATGTCTCCCTTGAGGAAGTGTAAAAACGGTACATCAACTTTGGCATTTACAGATTGAAAGACTGGAGGGCATGCATTTATTAAATTACACCTAAATCTATTTATCAAGGCTTTTTCTGCTATTTCATGCATTCCAAGCAAACGACAGTCACAAGTACAAGTGTGTATTTTGCAGCGCTGATTTAGCAGACCGGATGTTGTAAATAGCAAATGATGTTGGAGAACATGGCCTTCGGGTACAAGACGGTCACATCAAGACGTGCAGATTCTTACAACGAGTTGAGCGCGATGTAACGGCGTGAACCGGAAACATCGACAGTAGAAGTTAATACAGATGTCAGAGTTATAACTTTTTTCCGTATATACTTATCATATCCTTTATTGAGTGAGTGAGTGAGTGAGTTGGGTTTAACGCCGCTTTTAACAGTATTCCAGTTATATCACGGCGTGTCAGCTTAATGTGGGAGGAAAGCCAGAAGTGATGCAGGTCTCTGACGTTTACCACTTCGGTGAAACCCACGAGCACGGGTATGGTGCTGACAAACCTAGAAACATAATCGGGGCGAACCGGGATTCGAACCCACAATCATAGGTTTCTGGCGTGCCTAAGGGACGCAACTCTGCACAGCGAATCGCGGCGCCTTAGACGACTGGGCCACCCGTGCCCCCTCCTTTATTGAGACACATGACGACATGTCTGCAGGAGCGGTAGGGTAGCCTAGTGGTGTAAGCGTCCGCTCGTCACTCCGAAGACCCGGGTTCGAGTCTCCACATGGATACAATGTGTGAAGCCCATTTCCGGTGTCCCCCGCCGTGATAATGCTAGAATATTGCTAAAAGCGGCGTAAAACTCACTCACTCGGGTCTGTCGAACATGAGCATGTACGTTATCATCTGTTGTGAATCATGACAAAGTGGCTTCTTGTCCTGAGCGATTACTACACGCTAATGCAACTTAATTACAGTTGCTTAATTGAGTGATTATCAAATGTATACCACGGAGAGTTATTGGTTAAGATTGTCTTAATTGTCAATTCCATCGCTCGTTCCTGACTGGTACAGCAATAATTAACGCCAGTATGCCCTAATGCTTGTCTCTGTAATGGTTGGCTCTGTAATTGGATTGGCTTAGTTAAAGGAATAACTGGTGCAAAGGAATTTCGAGTGGAGCTTTGTGGATGATGACGTCCATATTAGTTATGTAAATATAAAACGTAAAAGCTATATAATAATAATTCTGGATGAACTGCAGAAACAAATTCGACCCGTGAAGATCCGGGGTAGAATAGGTCTTCAGCTACCCATGCTTGCCGTAAAAGGCGACTATGCTTGTCGTAAGAGGCGGCTAACGGGATCGGGTGGTCAGGCTCGCTGACCTGGTTGATCATGTTGATGCATGACTCGATAATTTACAGACCGCCGTCATATAGCTGGACTATTGCTGAGTGCTGCGTTAAACAACAAACAAGCATATATAATAATAATCATTCTATTTTATTTAAAATTCCTCCTGAACTGCAGTCAATGTTCTAAATGGGGTGTACAACCTCGTGTCATTTCGCCTTCAGTTTCAGTGATGGCAATATGAGATGTTGTCGAATAGGTACCCAACCCGGCACCCCAAGGCGTTCGTTTCTTTTCAGGAACCTGATGTTTCATAGTACTGTTGAGATTCCGGGTCATACCTAATCACCTCGTGTTAGGTATTGCCGATTAAATTTACATCGTGTGGTCAGGCTCTATGACTTCATTGATGATGCCATCGTATATATCTAAGAGGGGCGTGACACATCTGGAAGGGCGTCCTGCCACAGCTGGAATATATCGAAAAGCGGCGTGACACAGCTGAAATATATCTAAGAGGGGCGTGACACATCTGGAAGGGCGTCGTGACACAGCTGGAATATATTGAAGAGTTGCGTGACACAGCTGGAATATATCTAATATTTCAGCCAAATATCACATTTTGCATGAGGATGCGTCGGGATAAATTTGACGACAATGTACGTGATCAAGTGTGTGAGTGAATGGGTTGTACTCCGCTACTCAGTAATTCAGTTATATCAAGGCGTTTTATCAGACTGGGTAACAACAAGTGTCATCTTTTAACGTCTTCCGGTATAACGTAGCCGGGGATCGAACCATGGAACTTCCACTCCCCAGGCAGACGCTCTGTCCACTCGACCTGGGAAGATGACGAATCAATGGCTAAGAGCTTAGATTTATATGATCCTACGTTAACGTGCTGTAAGACGGTTCACATATTAATCATACGAGCTACTGTTTGTAACGTATGTCTGTATCAAGGAAGGACCATACAGAGTTTGCGACACGTGAAGATCCGGGGTAGAGTAGGTCTTCAGCAACCCATGCTTGCCGTATAAGGCGACGGGATCGGATGGTCAGGC